ATTCAGAAGATCGAAAACCTGAAGCTCTTCCTTGCACACAGAAGTTTTAGCATCAATTCCCACAACTCACCCTGCTGGGCTGAGGGGTCTGGTGGGGGATGCTTGTGTGGGTGACACTGGTGGGACTGGCTGAGCTGGGGCTGACCCCCAAGGGAACCCTGCATTGACCTCAGGCCATGGAGAAGGCTTCAAAAATTCACTGATAGCCCTGGGATTGTGGGTGTGCAGTTTGAACAGAAGTGTGTGATATCACAGGGCGGGAAACTCAGAGTTTAAGGGTTTAGAACACAGTAATAGATATATAAAGCAAGATGGAGGTTTTGGGTTTTGGGCTGGTCCTTCTTCTTCACCTTCTTCTCCATGGGTTTGGGTGGTTTTGTGTCGTTGGATAAAAAAGTACCCATTGCAGGGCATGGGTGGTTGGTTATTGGGTTAAAAGTGAAAATAATTTAGGTGTCATTTCTTAATTGGACAGTTTATCCTTAAAAGACCTTGTAGAGAGAGATGGGGCAATTTTGTAGCTTATTAAAGTACTGTAGAACTCACAGTTTGTGAGACTGTAACACAGATAAGAACTAATAAACATCTGAGTCCCAACAAGAAATAGCATCTCACACATTTAATCCTGACCCTGGCAGAGAAAAGAAGCAAAAGAATCTGCATTATTTGAGCCCCAAGCCTTTTCCTCTGTGTCCCAAGGAGCAGCAGGACAGAGATGTCTCATTTCCATGGCTGGATGTGGTCAGTTACAGGTGTGCATGTGCTGCTCTTCTATAGGTGCCCAGACATTGCTGAGCAGAACCAGCTGAAGCTGTCAGGGCTTCATTCAACTCCTTTCCCTCTCTGAAATCCACTCTCTTGCTTCCTTTTCGTGGTCTCCATGGAGCTGAGACTGTGGAAAGCTGTTTGCTTTCCACAAACCTCGTATGTGGTTCCTTTAGTAGCATCCCTGAATTAGTCAGCTTGTCAATATTTTTTTGTTTATTTTTATTTTTTAATAGAGCTAATGACACCTCTAAAGCAAATGGAAAGGTATAACCTGTCTGGATCCCACCTCTGCAAAGAAAAAAAAAATCAAATTATCCAAAAAATGTCTTTTTGTGTGATGGGAGAAGGAAAAGAGAGATGGCAACAAAGGGGGGAAGGGAAGGGAAGGGAAGGGAAGGGAAGGGAAGGGAAGGGAAGGGAAGGGAAGGGAAGGGAAGGGAAGGGAAGGGAAGGGAAGGGAGTTTGGTTCCAAAATGTGGATATGGGGACATGGTTTATTGCTGGATGTGGCAGTGCTGGGTTAACAGCTGGACTCAATGATCTTTAAGGTCTTTTTCTAACATTTCCTTGACTTCAGTTCCCTCCCTCTGGCTCCATTTGACACAGAAAGCAGCAATCACACCCTGGGGCATTTTTATTTCTTTATTTTTTTTTTAATAAACTTTATTCTATATTACAAATAGTTGTTTTTTTTTTTTTCTTTTTTGTTCTGGACTGCAAAATAGGAATGCCTTATATTTACATACACAGGTATACAATTAATTATAACAAAGGTACAGAAGCTTTGCCTTTACCAAGTAACAACGGGATTCCAATTTAAATAGTATAGATTTTATTTCTTTCTTTTTTTAACTAGGATCAGTTCAAAAGAAAATCAAACTAACAACAACAACAACCTAAGAAAAAGGATCCCAACCTCCTTTCTAATGCTGTCTTGACATCTCTTTGAGGCTGTTAGTAACACTGTGGTGAAAGGAAATGTCTTTCCATTGATTTTGAGTTGGAAGCTTTAGCAAAACAGAGAATGAGACTTCTGGGCTCACGTGTATGTCCAAGACACGGGGTCAGACACAAGGAAGGGCCTCTCTTGTGACCTTAAATAATCCAGTTGCCTCTCTAATCCTTGGGGAAAACACTGGGAGCATTTAGCTAGCACCTAATCTCTCTGCTTCCTTACCCCAGCCTGGGCTGGAAAGCGGAATTTCTCCAGGGAACGGAGAAAGAGCAGCATAGAAAGTTCAAATAACACCAAGTTTCTCTTAAGATACTTCAGAAAGGACTTCAAGCTTGGACATGTGCCTTGATTTCTCCAGCTGGCTCTTGTGCCTCAGTTCTGTGTGAAAGTGAACAGCAGCTTCTCCACTGGGGAATGCCAGACCACACCAGTAAAAGAAGGGAATGCTGAGAAGAGCCTGAATGTCCTGGTTTTCCCTCTGTTTTCCACACCCAAGTTTGCTTTACTGAGCTTCCCTGCACACTGCTCTCTGCTGCAAGCGTCTTTGAGGTGATCTGTTTCCAAGCAGAAAGAATTTCTTGAGGTAAACTCTCCATTTTTAGAACAGAAGATTAAAAAAAAAAAACACAACCAAAACCAACACAACAAAAAAACCAAACCAACCAAACAATGAACAAACAACAACGACAACAGAAATCAAACACGTGACAGGTTGATCAGACTAAGCAGCTTTGTAACTTCTGTGGGGTTTTTGGTGGTTTATTTATTTCTCCAAGTGTAAATCCTGTTTGGTTATTTTTTAAACTTTTTTTTTGACATCTTTCTACAAATTCTTTTTTTTTTTTTTTTTTTTTTTTTGCTGTAAGTCTGTGTCCCCTTGGGTGCTTCTCCAAGTGTAGAGAACTGGGCCACCCCAAATAAAACACGGTTGACAAGCCCTATTTTCAAAGCATTCTCCACAAAGTCATTATTCCCAGTAAGACAGCAAGATTTTTTTGGGGGAAAGGGGCATTGCACAGTCACAGAGGTGAGGGAAAACTGCAGGATTTAATGGATCAAGCACTACCCTGAAATGGGAGCTGCACCAGGTGCAAAGCAGGAAAATTCAGGCTGGAAATGAGCAGGAGGTTGAGGTTCACACCATGATGTTGAGGTTCATATGTTTCACCAATTTCCTGCCACACAGCACACCAAGTTTGGATGGCAAGAGTTAAGACATCCCAAAACCTCCTCCTGCCCTGAAGGACAACTCTCTCTACTTATATTTTCTTTTCTCCTCTTTTGGAAGAGTCCCCAAATAGCAGTGTCTCTTCCCAAAGCACTTTGTTAAAGCCTTGGAGAAGGACAGATCTACATTTCATGTTTTGACTTAGTTCTGAACAATTGTCCTTCTGATAGTGGCTGTTGTGTGCTTGGGTTTTTACCTCACAGGCATCCCAGACTCCAGGAAATTCAGAGGGGACTCAACAGGAATGCTGACCACTTACTGGACTCCTCACATTTGATCTGTTGGTTTGCAACAGCACTATTAAAAATAATGATAATTATCTGATTTGCTCGGTCTCATTCCCTTCATGGCAAACATTTTCATGTGGGTGAATGCAGAAGATTGGGAAACTTTGGTAATCATTTTTTTAATCTAAGAAATTACCAAATGAAATTCTGGTAAATCTTCTTTATGACCCAATAAATTTTATGGTCTTCAGTGTCAAAGATGCAAGATAAGACAACTGCAGTGGTACCACTACAGGGATGAAAATTGGCATCGCCCTCTTATCTAATGGAGCAAGGCTGATGTGTGCTGGGTGAGACCAAGCCTTTGGATACGTTCAGGACAGGATGAAGAGTGGGAAGAGAAGGACTGGGGCGTGATTTAACATTCAGACTCTGTGATCTTAGAGGTCTTTTCCAGCCTAAATCATTCTATGATTCTGTGCTAGGAGAGGAAGGTGGCTGAATTTCTCCTCAATTGTTCTCCTGTGCTGTAAACCCTGCAGTGAAGAAATAATCTTGACTCTCTCCACAGAACCTCAGAGAGTCTTCATGAGTTCTCTTTCCCCTGTTTCTGATGGTGCTGCAGGTGCCAGCATTAATTATTTGATTGCAGCGTTTGAGAAATGCCCATAAATATCAGCCTATCATCAGGAATATTCTGGATATTAGGAGCCTGTCCATGGGCTTTTAGGAACTTTGGGTCCAGTTCTCTCCATGGGACTTGAAAAACAGTGTGGGACACTACTTATTTGTCAGGAATTTTTGGTCAGTGTTGAGAGGGAGGTGGGGGGAAAAGAAATCAAAGGAAAAGAAAGCATCCGTGTTGTAGTAGGGCTCATTCTTCTGCTTGTGTCTTTGTTTTTAGTTGTATTTTACATGCACTTAAAAAATAGTTAGCTCAACAGGTGAGGCTGGGAAGAAAGATGCCAAGACTTCTCATAGACTGGGGGATTCTGGGACACTGGTTGGAAATGGGAAGGGCACTGAAGGGGACAGGGGAGGAAGCCCACGCATTTACATCACAATTCTGGCACATTTTCCAAGCAAAAAAGCAAATCCAGCTCAAACACCAAACTAAAGAGAAACAGAAAGACAAAGAAATAAAGAGGAGATGAAAGAGAAGCAAAACGCAGATTTTCTTTCAAATCCTGGGCATGGGGGAAAGAAGAGGGTGGAGGGAAAGCAGAAATGCCTAAATGGGAAGTTTGGAAAGGGTTAAGACACCAATCTCCTGGTGCTTCCCATTTCCCCTAAGTGTTTCATTCTCAGTGTCTCTGAGGTGTTCAAGTTTTTCCTCAAAAAATATATATATATAATATACAGATGAAAAACTCCGTACCAGCAAGAAGAAATAAAATAACAACCATGGAAAACAACCATAACAAACCAAAAACACAGCCCTGAAAACATCGAAAAGAAACAGGGTGAGTCTCAGATTTCCCCTGTGGTGTTCCTCTGACTTCAGTAACAGTACAGGATCACACCAGTTCATTTTGATTTTTTTTTTGTTGTTTTTTTTTCTGTTAAACAGCTTCTTCTTCCTCTCATGTGCGCATGTCCAGGCAGGATCGCCCATCACTCATAACCACTTCCCTCCAAGCCAGCTCTTTGTCCTTAGACTCCTACCATCCAGCTGTGAGTACAAGGCATGACAATAGGGTCCATATTTATCTGTTGTGGCACTTTGTTTGTCAAAACCTTTGGTTTCTTCCTTTTTTATTTTTTTTAATTTTTTTCCCCCTTTTTTTTTTCTTTTTCTTTTTTTTAAATTTACGTACTTATAAAAAATACTGTGTTTGTGTGTTGTTTGTTGTCATTTTCTTACCACTGGCTCTGGTGGGACTTCCCACTTTCACAGCCATTAATCAATGGATCTGGAACATGCGCCGACATTACTAAAATGGATCAACAAAACCATGGCAGAACCAACCAAACCCAAACCATCCCCAATGCGCAGGCCTCTTAAAACTGCTGAGATGTCCATAAGGTGCATGATGAGTCCATCAGCTCAGCAATCCCACAGAAAGCAAGCAGAACCAAAAATAAAAAAGAGGAAGGAAACGCACACGCGCACACAGATACACACGCACACGCACAAAATAATTGGAATTGCAATCAAGAAAGAAATGTCTGGGGGGTTTAAAACCAAGACGTGTCCCTAAGTTTGCTGTTTCAACGTGAATGTGGTGATTTTTCTCCCCACAGACACGTCCAGTGTTGGACTGAGTGGTTTTGGACTCGCCTACGTGTGTATCTGCCTGGCTGAAGGAAACCCTCCCGCTGCCTGGCTCCTGCTTGCACCACACCATCCCTCACGCACACCCGGGATCTGTCACTCCCAAAAGGTTCTGGTTTGACAGCAAGAGACAGGAATGAACCCAAACAAACTCGCTCTGTAATCACTTTACACACCCTGCACCCCTTCCTCCCTCCAGGTGCAAAGCAGATCCAGGCTGTTGCTCCAAGGATGGGGTGAGGTGGATGTGGGCTGATCCTCCAGCCACTCCTCCATCTGCCAGGGAGCTATGCTTTTGGCTGGAGAGATGGATGTTGACCCAGCTCTTGCCTCCCTGGGGAACAAGGAAGGTTCTCCACACCCGGAGGGTCTCTGGTCATGGTGTTATCTGGGCTGGCAGCCGTGTGAGTGGAACAGCTGAAGGCAAAAAGAGATGCAGGAGCTCACTCCCCTTTGGTTGGCCATAAAACGAGTTGAGATGGTCTGGAGAAGCTGAGCAGAGGATGGCACAGGGACAGGGTGATCCCCCACAATTGTCCCATGGTGACAGCGATCCCTGAAGGGATAAGAAGTGCAAAGAGAGATAAAATCCTTCCTAGGCAGCAACTGTGCCTTCAGCAAGGCCTGTTGGTTCCAGAAATGGAGGAGAGGAAAGGCCAGGAGCTGGCACCAAAAGGCAGATGGGCTCACAGCAGTTCAGAGACCTCCAGGAGACAGGCAGTTCAGCTGGGGGGATCTAGGTAGAAGAATTTTTTTGCAGTGTTTCATTTGGATTTCCTCCAAGATTTCCTTCCAAAGTGTGTGGTGACATTTCCTCTTAGGAGCAGCTTGGAAGGAAGGCTTCACCATCAGCCTCGTGCACCACCTCACTTCACAGCAAGCATTTCAGTAACCCTCTGATATTCCACTGTGGGAAAACAACAGCTGTGTTCCAGTTGAGGAAACAAAATGGAAAGAACAGCTTAAAAAAACAAAACAAAACAAAAAATCCTTCTGGTTCTTCTTTTGAGGCTGAGCTCCTTGCCTGGAACAATCCGAGGCCTGTGGCTCCTGCTTTCCAAGCCAAGGTGGGAACAAGGGGCATGATGCTGTGCTCTCCATGGCCGGGAGGAGCAGGACCACCACCACTGACAGGATGCCACCCAGCAGAGAGAGCGTTTTGCTGCAGTGCTACGACCAACAGGACACGACGGGAAAGACGGAGGGGGACACGCGGCTCTTGGGAAAATAAGAAGAACCATATGAAACACATGGGCAGGGCAGCGTCGGTCTCCTCGTCCCCTCTTGACCCTTTCCCTGGCCCAGGAGAGCAGCTGTTTACACAGGCAGGATGAGCCACGGTGGCCCTGCTCTGGACAAAAGCTGTGGCATTTTTCGGGGAGCCTCCTCTCCCAGTGGGTGGCTATCGAGGGATAGAATTGCAATGGCTCTGCCCTCCAGGAGCCCTGCAGGCAGGCTGCCTTCCCCTTGGGGACACTTGAGTAATACTGAGTTCATTTCCATGTCCTCTCCAGAGGCTACAGCCCTCGGAGGGCAGTTAAAGCAGCATGACAGAAGTTACCCCCCATTTCACCTCTGCAGAGTGAGGATGCGATGCTGGGCGAGGGTTGGTGGGGTTTTCACGTGTGTTCAATAGTTTCTCTCTAGGGCAAAAGGCAGAGGGGAAGCTGTGAAAAGGAGAGCTCCACCCAGATGTCTTCATGGCCCCAGAGCCAAGATTCCTCTGCAGTCTTTTCTTTTAAACCCTGGGGCTCTGATGCTTTGTCCATAGATTTGGAAAGAGAAGGAAAAGAGAGAAAGAGAGAGGGAGAGGAGAGAGAGAGAGAGAGAGGAGCGCTGTTCGGGTGACTCTGCTTACAGCCCATCAAAACTTGCACTTGGTAAAGATGATGATCTTGAGTGAGGCACGACTTGGTTTATCCCTCCCAGGGTGTCCCTGGCAGGACAGTTCTCAGCTGTCTATGCTCATGAGGGTTATAACTTGTTCAAGTTTGTAGGCAAGTTTCTGTTTCCCAGCCTGGTCGTCTTGATCGAGGGCTCCGAGAATCTGGAAAATGAGAGAGGAAGAAATGATAGGGATTTCAGTTTCTTTCCCCAAAATGACTGAGCCCATCATAAAGCAGCAGAGGAGGTTGAGCTTTCTCTAAGGCAGGTCTCAGGCTTAGTTTAGATCATGCAAGGCAAGTCAGTCAGCCAGGAAGGAGCTGGGTGGAGAGTTTGAATCCAATCTGACTCAATGCAGACCTTTGGATTGCAACCAATCACATGGATTCTTATCTTGAAGATCTGTTATTTTTTTATTTATAAGCTTTATCCATCACCTGGCCATGCCACTTGAGATGCCCTAAGGGGTCTCACATGGCCTTCAATACATAGAACCATGCTGGACACCTTCAAGTCTGTGTTGGACCATTTTGGGGTGTTTTAGGGTATCTGGAATGATGTTGGGCACAGTCCTTAAGCAACTTTTGGCCATTTTAGGTGTAAAACTCATGTAGGGCTTCTCTGCAGTGAGTTAACATCTGACTATCAACTACTTCAAACCAGCTGAGCCTGACTGAATGAGACAGACACAAAACAGGGATCCAGAATCCCAGACCTTCCCTTTCCAAACCCCAAGCCTGGTCTCTCATTCCTTAAATCCTCCACCCTCCCAGCAAGGATGCAGACAGGTATCAGTGACCCACCAGGGGATGGGTGGGCTGTCCCCTGGTCCTCCAGAGGTGTCCCCAGGCTCTCACCTCCTCTCCCATGGCCCCTCAAAGGTGTCCCCAGGCTCTCACCTCCTCGCTGTACTTGCCCACGTAGGAGTAGATCTCGGAGAGTGCGCTCATGGTGTTGAACTCGTTCATGTGCATGCGGGACTGCTCAGCCAGGTAAGCATTCATGTCCTGGTCACTGATTGCTGGCATCTTGGCGATGTCTGAGTAGTACCTGAGGGGCACAAACACAGGGGTTTCTTGAGGGGAAGAGAAGGAGATCAAGAAGTGAAAGCCACAAGCAAAACAGAGAAAAAAACTCCACACGTAGTGTTGGGTTTTTCTGGTTCCTGAGTGAAACACCTGCTCATGCTCTTCTTTTACAGCAAGAAAGGATGATTTAGCCAAGGTGGAAATGACTGAGCATTCATCCTGAGCACCACATATGTCTTTTTACTCACCCCAATCTGAGAATGAAGCCCCAAAGAGTATCCTGTAAACTTTCCCAGTCAATAGAAGCTGGACTGAAGCTGGATCACTTTGTCAGATACTCAAGGGTTTTTAGCCCTGCCTCTCTTCCCAGAGAGACCTTGCTGCCCACTCATGATTTCACTCCCACATAGAGAAAAACCCTAAATATTTGTATTTTTTCCTTGCACCATTCTCACCACTACATCTGCCCCCATTGCTGGCATCCCCCACCTTCCACAGTCAGTCCAGTCTATCCCAACAACTCTCTTGCCCAGCATCTCCTTTTTTCCCCATATTTTAAGCTAGCCTGATATTTGTGGCAACAGCCTTCAACTCCAGTCTGACTGGGAAAAAATCTGCTTTTCCTAGAAGAATCTGCTTTTCCTAGGAGTCAACAGCATTCCCCTGGAGCTCAGGAGGACTGGGGGTTTATCCATAGGCTCTGGGTCCCCCAGAACCATTGCCCATCAGGCTTCATGTGCAGAGTGATGTCTCTTTAAGGAAGTTGCTATTTTGGATGTCCTTCCTCCCCTGGGTAAGGCAGGTCTTGGAGGACAAGGTTTGCAGAAGGTAATCAGTCACTGTCACTCGCAGCTGTGCTCTGCTGTCAACTGGTTAATTAGACACCATCATTTACATTTTTAATTTCTGCAATTTGACATTTTGTGCAGAAGGAAAAAAAAATACGAAGAGGAAGGAGGAAAAAAAAATAAAAAAATCCCATAGCTGCAGCAATCCACAATTTTATAATTAGGAGGCAGAGGGGACGGGGAGCCAAAAGAGCTGACAGGTGTCCTGTAAACAGCGTGGAGACACCTGCTGAGATGGGGGCTGTGTGCCACTGCAGGGGAATTGGACATGGAAATGCTGTGTGGTGAGCATCCTTGAGGTGAGTGAGTGGGAAAATACTCCATGACAGAGCAGGATGAGCAGCTGCTGGAGTGAAAACAGAGCAGTGCAAGAGCATGGGGGGAAACCCTTCCACACCAGGAGGCTCCAGCTGTGCCCAGTCTGGTTTTGTGCCCTCCAATCCCACCCTGATTTACCCCAATGAGTCAGTCCCTGTTGATAACCTGTTTTTGGTGGTGGGATGCTGATGTAATCCTTGGCAGAGGGAGGCTCAGGAGGCAGAGGTCCTTCTTGCTTGACATTTTCCAAAGCTAAACTCTGTTTCACCACAAAAACTCATGCAAACCTCATTAATTTTACTGCAACTTCCAGCAGGCACAGAAACATCTCTCTCCCTGGAGCCCTGGCATTTTGTCTTCTGGGCTTAGGACCAGCCAGAAATCTTAGGCTAACTCAGTCCTGTGGTCTAAATATTCCCCATTGCCAGTGCTCTCAGTGAAAAGTGGTGTGGGTTTGATTTTCTTTACACTTTGCCTGACCCTCCATCCCCAGGGATTGAGGTGGACCTGGGGATCCAGGTCCAGGTGGGCCTGGAAAGTTGTTTGTGATTAAAGTGAGCACCTGGAAATCCCAGGAGGCTCTGTCCTGCAGAACTACCCCCAGGAGAAGATGCTGAGCAGGAGGAATTAATATTTCTTAGACATTTGCCACTTGCAGAAAAATTTCAACAGGTCATGACATCACCTGCTGGAGAAGATCAGATCTGTGCTGCACACAGGAGTTGGTGGCATGCATAACATGGGAAAACAGGCAATCTTAGGGTCAAAGAGCAAGGAATTTTAGGGTTAAAAAGCAAGGTGTGCCTTGGCACTGGAAAAAAAAAAATCCACGTGCCACCAGCACAATTCACAGACCCGTGGGGAAAACAGGCTGCAAAGCAGTGAAATACATTGATTTATATTGGATAGGCACCCTCCTGATGGGTGAAATGAGAAGAGGGCTCACCACAGCAAAAATAAATGGGGTTGCTGGAGGAAATCAGAGGTGCCAGTCTGGCTCTGACAAGAAGTTAAAATCCTCATTTTCCTCTCTGGCTGAGCTGTCACCAAGTGGTGGCAGGATAGTGGGTGTAGGGACAGGGTGCTCCCAAAAACTGGAGCACAGACACACTTATCAACTCCTTCTCCAAGTTTGTCCTGTTTCCTTTCCACCTGGTAGCAAACAGACTCTTGAGTCTGTGACTCACAAGGGTTTGAAAGCTCCCCACCCCGCTCCAGCCCTGCAGAGATCATTCCCCAGCAGCACAACACTCCTGTGACTCATCCAAACAGGGAAAAGCAGCGGGAAATGTTCCCTGGAGCCAGGGATGGCATGCACAGATCTGAGTTTCAAGAAGCACAGTTTCAGGGCTCTGGCCATGACAGACTCCCAGGATGTGATCGCAGTGCTCTGGGGTCACTGGCCATCACCCACCAAAGTATCCTGGTCTTCTCCAGACTCAATTCCCTGGCATCTCACACCTAAACAGCCATTTCCCATTCAACCAAGGTGTTTTGTGGCAAAAATAAAAGAGAAAGAAGTGGAAACGAACATGTACCAATGCCTCAATCTAGCTGAGTGAGAAGATGTAATATCCTTCCATCCAAATTCTGCCATGGCCCAGTGACTTATTTATGCAGAAGAGTCTCTAATGAAGCCATCACTGTGCTCTCTAAAGAAATGATGAATGTGTGTATTAAAGCATCCTAGCAGGGAGATGACAACATCCCTGCTGAGTCTTTATTTACCTTCCATTCCAGCCCAGATCCTCAGAGGTACTTAGAGCCTCTCTGCCATTTGCATACCCCTAATGCAAAAACCACTGAGGAGCTGTCACCAAACCCCAGAGGCCCCTTCCATTCCCACTGCTGGAATTTGCTGCCTGTGCTGCTTCCATCAGCCCTGCAGCTGACAGGTCCCACAGCACAGCTGGGCTGGGAGGCAGTGCCAGGGGCACAGAGGGGCTCTGTCACCTGTGGAGGGACACCTGGTCTCACCTGAGACAGGGACAGGGCTTTGTCTCACTTCCACAGCCAGCAGAAGGTTGGGAACACAACACTGAGCCATATTCTCTCTCAATGAGACCGAAAATAGCAAAGCAAAGCAGTAAATGCAGTTTAATCTGCTCCCAAAAATGAGAATCCTGAGCAGATTTGCTGCTATTGCTGTACTCCAGTTTTGCTCATCTCCAGTGGATCCTTCCCCAGCTGTTTCCAGAGGATCCTCAGATGGAGATCAGAAGATCCAGCCTTATGTGTCTGAGTTTCCCTGGATTCACAGGAGCAGCCTCCATTCTTGCCTCAAGGCTCTCCGTCCTCTGATGTGACCACAGGAAATTTGTTCATTAAGCTTCATAAGCAATTAAAATCATGAGGAACTGGGGTGAACCCATCATTCCAGTACTCCAGGATGTGAGGATAACCAGGCCATGGGATGTGTCCTCACAGATATAAAAGGAAAAACAACTCACCCCAGCCTGCCTTGAATGGAGAGAGAGCCCAGGAGACCCCACATTGCCACTGGAGGATGGAGAAGGATTTGGGATGTACCAGGATACAGCTGGCACTCTTCTACTGAAAAAATAATTATTCTTGTTCCTTCCAACCTCATCTTTCCCCGGGTTGTGTTTTGTTTTTTGTTTTGTGTTTTGTTTTGTTTTGTTTTCCCAAGGAAAGCAACACAACAGTGACCTGGGCATCCATCACAGCGACCTGGGAATACATTTTGTCTTCTGTTTATCCAGGGATAAATGCTCTTTCCCTCGGCACCGACAGGGAAAGGCTCCTTAGTGGAGCTGTTTCACAAGAATGACTGTGCCTGCTGCCGCTCAGTAACTCATTAACTCATCAAAAGAGAAGAGAAAAGCCACGTTTGCCAGTGCTCCCTCCCCAGCCCCAAATTTCCCAGCACAGCCCATGGTTTAGGCAGCTTAGCATGGAGCTAATTGCCTTCCAAAAGATCTTTTTGTCATGCCTGTTGTTTGTCGCTGGGATGGGACTGCACTCATTAATAATCATTTTAGCATATGAAAAGCTTGTAACGAATCCATGTGCTGCAGACGGCAGACGCAATTACAGCAATAACATAATTAGGGTTATGCAATAGCCGGCTGGATCCAGACCACTGAAGGATGGAGAGGTGTGTGAAAGGGATCTGGGGGGCTCTTCCAGCAGGGAAGGGCTGGTGGAAAGCTTGGGAACAACCAGCTCTTTTTTTGGGATGCACTGAAGCAGTGCAAGGACATGCACTGACACAGAATGGCACTTGGAGTTTCCTGGGGAGCATCTGAGCTGCTGGTGAGGCACTGGAATAGATTTCCCAGGGAAATCCAGAGATTCCCCATCTCTGGAAGTGTTCAAGGCCAGGCTGGACGGTATCAAAACAGGATGAACCCCGTGGCAGGGAGAAATGATGAGGAGGATTCCATCTCATCAGAAGGCCAATTAATTAATTTATTATACTATATTAGTCTATATTATATTGCATTATATTGCACTGCATCTAAAGTGAATCTGCTTAGCACTCAACTCTGCACACACTGCACAGAATCTGTGACTGTCCTGACAGTCCTGACACACACACACACACCTGGCCCTGACAGGCCCTGACAGGCCAAGGAAACAAAACACCATCACTTTGGTAAAACATCTCCATATTGCATTCTACTTTGGCACAAACACAGGCACAGCAAATGAGATAAGAATATTCTTGGGAAGAATTGTGCCTTGCTTTTCTCTGTGAAGAGAAATGTGGGGCTACACACTTGGCCCTGACAGGCCAAGGAACCAAAACACCATCACTGTGGGTAAACCATCTCCATATTGCATTCCACTTTGGCACAAACACAGGCACAGCAAATGATAAGAATTGTTTTTC